AAAATCTTCAGGTCTGTTATCGTCCTGTAATATACGTAGGCAAAAATCTTCAGGTCTGTTATCGTCCTGTAATATAGCCAAACGTAGGCAAAAAATGTATATGTGGTGCTAAAATCACGGAATTGCCGATTCTATTGAATTTGCAGCCAGATTGCCTAATCTGTAGAATCAGCATTTCGTTGCCTATGCATAAAATTGGACGTTAGAATTAAATCAGTTACAAATTATTAGAGTGATTAGAGTTTCTATTTTATTTATTAGTTTAGAGTTTTCAGATAATCTATAAATTAGAGTTAAATAAATCGGCAGTTAGAGTTAGAAAAGGTTAGGTCAAGTTCGGTCAAGTTCTTTCAGATTTGAATATTTAAAGAAAAAAGAACTTAGCTGACTGACCTAGCCCCAAATTCTTATAGAATAAAAATACTGATTCTATACAGATTCAGCAAACTGGCTGCCGATTCAATATAATCGGCAATTCCGCGGTTTCCGCACGACATTTATAAAAATATCAATAATGAATAATTTAAATTTGTATCACACGCAATCTTTATTAAATAAATTTCTCATTTTCTAATTTATTTTGTTGACTTGTAGAGAATGATTAATTATTCACATTTCATATCAATAGTTGTTTAAAAACAGGAATAAAGAATAATTTCATTTAGTATCACTTGCGATCTTTTTTGAAATAAATTACAAATTTTATAATTTATTCTGTTGAATTCTAGAGACTGTCATGAATATACATTCACATGTACTGTAAAGGCTGCTCACTGATAATCAATAATGGATTATTATTTAGTCTCAAGTCACACATTTGTAATTCGTGTAGTTAGCGTAAATTAAAGTATAAAAATCTGATTTATCCGATTATCGTATTGATCTGTGAGTCGAGTATACATGTATAAGGTTGAGCTGAGCTTAACGTACGTGTTCCCAACATGTTTATGCTATTGAACATGTTTATGCTATTAGTGCTGTTTATGCAGCACTAATCATGTTGCCAACATGTTTATGTTATTGAAGGTGGAGCTAAACGTGTTGCCAACACGTTGATGCTATTGAAGCTGCAGCTAAACGTGTTGCCAACATGTTTATGCTATTGAAGGTGGAGCTAAACGTGTTACCAACATGTTTATGTTATTGAAGGTGGAGCTAAACGTGTTGCCAACATGTTGATGTTATTGAAGGTGGAGCTAAACGTGTTGCCAACATGTTGATGCTATTGAAGGTGGAGCTAAACGTGTTGCCAACACGTTGATGCTATTGAAGCTGCAGCTAAACGTGTTGCCAACATGTTTATGCTATTGAAGGTGGAGCTAAACGTGTTACCAACATGTTTATGTTATTGAANGATGGTCAGATGATTGCCAATCACCAATCATCGATGGTCAGATGATTGCCAATCATCAATCATCGATGGTCAGATGATTGTCAATCACCAATCATCGATGGTCAGATGATTGCCAATCACCAATCATCGATGGTCAGATGTTTGCCAATCATCAATCATCGATGGTCAGATTATTGCCAATCATTAATCATCGATGGTCAGATGATAGCCAATCACCAATCATCGATGGTCAGATGATTGCCAATCGAAAATCATCGATGGACCGATGATTGCCAATCCCCAATCATCGATGTCAGATGATTGCAAATCACCAATCACCGATGGTCAGATGATTGCCAATCACCAGTCATCGATGGTCAGACGCTGTCTCTTATACACATCTAGATGTGTATAAGAGACAGCCTCACCCCAGTTCCCATACCACCCCATACCTCACCCCAGTGCCCATACCACCCCATACCTCACCCCAGAGCCCATACCACCCCATACCTCATCCCAGAGCCCATATACCGCCCCATACCTCACTCCAGGGCCCATACCGCCCCATACCTCACCCCAGGGCCCGCACAGCCCCATACCTCACCCCAGGGCCCATTCCTCACCCCAAGATTCGCACAGCCCCATACCTCACCCCAGTTCCCATACCACCCCATACCTCACCCCAGAGCCCATACCACCCCATACCTCACCCCAGAGCCCATATACCGCCCCATACCTCACTCCAGGGCCCATACCGCCCCATATCTCACCCCAGGGCCCATATAGCCCATACCTCCCCCCAGTACCCCATACCACCCATACCGTACCCCATTGAGCTGGAGTTTGTCGTTGCTGACTTCGTTGAGGCGTCGCTCGAGGTTGAGCACAAGTTGGCTGAGTCTCGTAGTCTCGGCGACCTGACGTGCCAGAGACTCGTCCGACGAGGCCAAAGCCTGGGCGTGGGCCTGACTCTGGGCCTCCTGCTGCTGGGCGTGTCGGGTCTGGGTCATGATGAAATATGGGTCACATAAAATTCTGGGTTTAATCGACTTCTGGAACTCTTGCTGTTATTAGACCCAGAATTGTTAAGGACTTGCTGTTATGCTGTTATGGAACTATTGGGTCTAGGTTAAGATAAAATATGGGTTATATTCACTTCAGGGTCATACGAGCTTCTGAAATTCTTAGTATTGACTGTGGTGGGTCCAAATCTTTTAAAAAATATGTGTCATTTAAATTTCTAGGTAGAATTAATATAGTTTTTGTGGCTTTATACTGCGCGGTGCACCGGATTTAGGTGACATACAACCATTGGTTACATTCAATTCTGGGTCGTACGGGCTTAGGTGCTTTCCGCTGCCCACGTGGCAGGTCTAAGTTATAATAAAAATCAAATTCAACTCCGGCTTACATGTGTGGTCAATTTTGTGTGGCCAATTGCACACCACATGTGTGGTGTGCAATTTTCATTTATTGAGTTTTGTGAGTCTAAACCACATGTACATTTTGGCCAACATTAAAGTTCCACCAAAATGAGTTTCTTGGTTCTAACTGCTGGGTGGGTGGGTTTGAGCTACACGAGAATCTGGAACACGTGAAATTCATGGTCACATAGAATTTTGGGTAACATTAAATTCTGAGACAATTTAAATTATTGGTTAGGTTGAATCCTAAATCACCTGGAATTCTGGGACTAGTGCCTCGTATCATTACATTTCATGGTCACATAGAATTCTTATGCTGACTCTGACGCGACGGCGAGTCAAGTGCGGGTTATGACAAATGCATTCATTTTGTAATGTCAAAATGTGTAATGTGTAAAAAAAAATGTGTAATTAATGTGTAATGTAAAATTTGCTTTACACATACAAAATGTGTAATGTAATTTTGTTATGTCAAAATGTGCAGGTTATGACAAATGCATTCATTTTGTAATGAGTGAGTTGTAAATTTTGCGTGCTTCACTAGGATGCAACCCTTATTTTGAGCGGTTTAATTGAGTCACAACTTCACGAGTCCGACAAGCACATGAATTTTATTCGACGAAAGTTTGTCTATTGAATCGGCATTAATAAGCATTCAATTTCTATCCTAAAAAATTGCTTATCAATTTCATAATTTCTTTGACGATATTAAATCGGTATCAATAAGCATGCAGTTTCTATCCTACAAAATTACACATCAATGACATAATTTTTTCAACTAAAATTAGAAAATTGAATTGATTTGCGCCTAAATACGTTTGAATATTTGTTTCGAAGAAACGAATTTATGAATAAATTCGGCATGCGTTGGTGTGAAAAATTTGACCAACCTGCTCTTGAATTATTTTCTGTCGGACAGCAGCCATGTCAGCCTCAAAAAATTTGACAGACCTGCTCCTGAATTTTTTTCTGTCTGAGAGCCGCCATGTCAGACTGGAAAATTTTTAAGACCTGCTCTTGAATTATTCTATGTCTGAGAACCGCCATGTCAGCCTAAAAAAATTTGACAGACCTGTTCCTGAATTATTTTCTGTCTGACAGCAGCCATGTCAGCCTCAGCTCTGACAGAATCTGCCTGACGTCGAGCTTCTAGTCCTGTCAGCGCGGCTGCCAGAGCGTTTCTTTCGTCGAGCAGGACTGACAGAGAGCGATCCTTCTCCGCCTGCCAGACATATTATTTAATGCATTTAAAATTATTTAATACAGATAAATTATTTATACATCTTAATAAATGATTGACCAAAGTAAATAAATGTATTGTAAAATTAAAAATTGACTATGATAAAATGTTAACCAATTATTGAAGAAACAAGGCGCACTATATTGGAGCCATTCTTTTGGCCTCTAAAGCAAAAACGAAAAGGAAAAGCGATTTTTCATCTCGCGAGCAAACATAGAAATATGCAGAAATATAAGTTATTGTAAAACCAGTTGAACTATTATAAGATATATTTACTCATATGTATTTTTCAAAATTGATCATATTGGAATAGTGAATCGCACTTAGAGTATTTACTAAATTCGGTCACTACGCAAAAATTTTCCAGACAATTCAAATTTAAGCATACAAATGTAGAGAGTAATGATCTAAATCTAACTTTAATTCTATTCAATCAAATTTCTTTAAATAATTGGATTGATATTGCTACTTCCGTCTTTTAGGAAAATACGGAAAGTGTGTAAATTTCTTTTTCCGGGTCAAAAGCATCATTTAAATGCTCATATGTAAATTTTTGGGCATGACAGAGGGTGATGCCAACATCACCCATCACCCCAGGGGGTGATGTTGACAATCACCAATCATCGATGGTCAGATGATTGCCAATCATCAATCATCGATGGTCAGATGATTGTCAATCACCAATCATCGATGGTCAGATGATTGCCAATCACCAATCATCGATGGTCAGATGTTTGCCAATCATCAATCATCGATGGTCAGATTATTGCCAATCATTAATCATCGATGGTCAGATGATAGCCAATCACCAATCATCGATGGTCAGATGATTGCCAATCGAAAATCATCGATGGACCGATGATTGCCAATCCCCAATCATCGATGTCAGATGATTGCAAATCACCAATCACCGATGGTCAGATGATTGCCAATCACCAGTCATCGATGGTCAGACGATTGCCAATCACCAATCATCGATGGTCAGATGATTGCCAATCACCAATCATCGATGTCAGATGATTGCCAATCATCAATCATCGATGGTCGGATGATTGCAAATCACCAATCATCGATGGTCAGATTCTCAGTAACCAAATATTGTGACTTGCAAGGAAAAAGCTAATTCAGATGTTTGATATTTTGATAGTTGGTGTTTTTGGGGGGATTGAGTGACCAAGCATGGTAACTTGCCCGGGAAAAGGATAATTTAGATATTTGATATTTTGATATTTGGCGTCATTTTGCCGTTTCAATTAGATATCAAAAGGAGGCGGGCCGATGCAGTGAGGTCCTTAGTGGTTATTTGTGATTTCAGAGGATTGATTGGTCGACTACCATTCAAATTATTGTATATCTTCATGATGATCAAAGCTATAAACTTGATTAAAATGCATTCTGTAGATTATGCATGTTAAGGGCTCAGAATTTTTAGAACGCCTGATCATGTTCGAATAAACAATGACACTGTTAGGGATTGTAAAATAATTTTTTGAGTCACGTTTACGGATTTGAATTAATAAATTACGTCACGCTCACCATTCTACTCTCATGCGCTAATGTCAGGCGCTCACCATTCTACTCTCATGAGCTGATGTCAGGCGCTCACCATTCTACTCAAATGCCCTGATGTCAGGCGCTCACCATTGTACTCAAATGCCCTGATGTCAGCCGCTCACCATTCTACTCTCATGCGCTGGTGTCAGGCGCTCACCATTCTACTCTCATGTGCTGATGTCAGCCGCTCACCATTCTACTCTCATGTGCTGATGTCAGCCGCTCAACGTCAGCCTGATGTCGCTGCTGCAGCTGCTGCTGCGCTTCGCGCTGCGCATTTTGACCGTCCATCACAACCTCTGCCCGGCATAGACGTTGAAATAGTAATTCTATTTTTATTATTGTATTATACTAGAATAATATAGATATTACATGAACAAAGGATTGTTCTTATTAAATAATCATTCGGCTCTCACGTGCCAAAAGTTAAATAAGATTAATAACGATGCTTATGTTTTCAAGCAATGGTCATGTCTTTGCAATCAATTCACAGTCAAAGGCATAACACTGTACTTCACCTGTTTATGAATACAATCTAATTATATTTTTATAGGTACATTCAACGAAAACGAATTTTAAAAATTTACTCATTTAATGATCAACAACATTGATAAATTTTGCTCGTTGTTACCAGAAGCGTATTGAGACATTGGTAGATAGTTTCAAATTTTCCGATCCTAGTTTTCAAAAAGATATATAAGGATTGGCTGAATGCAAATTATTAGATGCAGTTTGCAGCCTTTTTTATTATAGTTAGATTTCAGATATTCTTGATACAAACTTAATTTGGGCTTGTGCCTATTAACCCAACATTTTCATGAGGGCTAAGAGCAACTATAAGGAAACTATAAGCGTTAAACGTAACAAAAAAGAAGTAAGATAGCATCGCGAACACAATAGGCTGTAGACGGTGGCAAAAATCCTCAAATTATCGCGCAAGATACAATTGAGATGTGCTGATATATATAACATAAACATATATAAAACATATATAACATATAAACATATATAAAAGGTATTAAATTAAAACCAACGAAGGAAAATTTCGCTTTAATCTGCGAAACTCGGACCTGTAAAAACGAAATAAGGAATCCGTGAAACACGGAATCTGTAAAAGCGAAACACGGGAACCGCGAAACAGGGAATCTGTAAAAGCGAAACACGGAATCCGCGAAACACTTGATCTGTAAAAACAAAACACGGAATACGTGAAACACGGAATCTTTAAAAACGTAACACGGGATCCGCAAAACACGGAATCTGTAAAAGTGAACACGGAATCCGCGAAACACTTGATCTGTGAAAGCGAAACGCGGAATCCGCGAAACAATTGATCTCTTAAAGCGAAACACGGAATCCGCGAAACACGGAATCTGTACAAACGAAACACGGAATCCGCGAAACACGGAATCTGTAAAAAGTGAACACGGAATCCACGAAACACTTGATCTGTCCAAAAGCGAAACACGGAATCCACGAAACACTTGATCTGTAAAAACGAAACGCAGAATCCGCGAAACACTTGATCTGTAAAAACGAAACACGGAATCCACGAAACACTTGATCTGTAAAAGCGAAACACGGAATCCACGAAACACTTGATATTTAAAAGTGAAACACGGAATCCGTGAAACACTTGATCTGTTTAAGCGAAACACGGAATCCGCGAAACACGCAATCTGTATAAACGAAACACGGAATCCGCAAAACACGGAATCTGTAAAAAAGTGAACACGGAATCCACGAAACACTTGATCTGTGAAAGCGAAACGCGGAATCCGCGAAACACTTGATCTGTAAAAACGAAACACGGAATCCGCGAAACACGGAATCTAAAATTGGCGGCTATTGCTCACTCTCAGTCTGTAGTCGTGCTGCTCTGAGCTGAGCAGTGAGCGCAGTAATCTGCTCCTCCTGAGCAGAGGCTCTGCTCCGCAGCTCTGCACACTCTGCTCGGTGCTGCTCGCTCTGTAACAGTTACATTAATACAGTGGATCACCTCACATATAAATTTTAATACATCGACAGCTGAATATTAAGTTATGATCTCTCAAATTATACATAAATTGTGAGACATCAAAACTGAATATTGCATTTTTCACATATAAAATATAAAAAAATTATAATAATATAATATATATTATTATATTATTATATATACATATATATAATAATATANGGCGCCCAGCAGTGTCAGCAGTCAACGCTGCACGGCGCCCAGCAGTGTCAGCAGTCAACGCTGCACGGCGTCCAGCAGTGTCAGCAGTGAACGCTGCACGGCGCCCAGCAGTGTCAGCAGTCAACGCTGCACGGCGCCCAGCAGTGTCAGCAGTAAACGCTGCACGGCGCCCAGCAGTGTCAGCAGTCAACGCTGCATGGCGCCCCGCAGTGTCAGCAAGACTCACATCGCGAGCGAGGTTGTGCTGCGCTGAGTCGAGCTGACGCTGACACTCTGTCAGCTGTTGGCGCAGCGTCTGGATTTTCTGTGATCGAAAAAGAAACCAAAAGGTTAAAAAATTAGACTAAGGTCTTGCAAAATCGCGAACGAAATACTAAAAATTTGTGCACAAGATGAAGGTTTATTAATTATATTGTTAAATTTAGGAAAAATCTGAAATAATCTCATAATTTTAGTTTGCTGCTTGTCGTTTGCATCATCTGACTTGTATATTTTTTTGCTATGCATGTTGTGAAGAAAAACATTTTTATTTAATCACGTTACTGGATTTGGTTGGTAAAATTTATTTACGAAATAAACAATAATTTACCTGCGCATCATCCGACTTCTGCTGCGCAGTGTCAGCCTGACAGGAGGCAAGGGAAGCTTCCAGGACTGACAGTCGCTCTGTCAGCGTCTGACAGAGGCTCTTGCTGGCTTTTAGTTCTGCCTGGAAATCAGAGTTTATTAGAGAACGTTAAATTAACTATGCTTTAAATGCCTGTTATCGAATGGGAGTTTATTAGACAATGTTAAATTAAACATGCTTTAAATGCCTGTTATATAAATAATCAATTAGTAAAACATCCAATATAAAATGAATTATATTGAAGGTCAAGTTACTATTCAGATTGGGTGATGGACTTGTTCTGAATTTGTATTCATTTTCTTCCCGGTATCAACTTTTAGTAACTCCATAATTTGAACAAACAATAATTATGACGTTTTTCGCTTTTGGAAATAATGTGCCCAGTAAAAAATCGGTATGGTTCTGAGAAATACAGACATAATATTCCTTACGAAATATGTTTGTGAAATATTTGTAGGCATTTAAAAATATTTTTTTTAGATAAATAACGTAGAGGCGTGTTGTCATTTCTTTCATGCTGATGCAACCTATCATCAATGTATGGTTTCAAAATAACCTATAATATTCAATAATATAGGAAAAGTTACCATTTGAACAAATTTAATCAAACAAATGTTTTAAATGATGATAATTTTAAAATATTAAGGGATATAGATATTCCTCAACACTCGTCCCTCACTTCGATAGCTTCGTAGTCACCCAAAAGGCGTTGGTAAGCCGACGTTTTGGTATCTAGGTCCCTGAAAGGTAGAACGATAGAATAGAAACAAATTTTATTTATCGAATAAATGATTATATATAGATATATAAATACTATTTATAGGGATATTCTTCAGTGAAATGGACGTTTCCAAAAGGCATTACAACGAGGAATAACCTGCGTAAAATTAGGTCATGGTTTGAACATGAATACAGACATTTTTTTGCGAAGAAACAATAATGCATAAATGCTTGGATGCATGGTATTATGTAATATTACATTACAATAACTATTAATTAATTATATAAGGTAATTTCAATGACAAAAAGTAAGAAGCAACATTTTACGATACAACGTTGAGACGTCGAACAAGATACAATACAAACAAGGGTTACAAATAATGTAATCTCTTGAGTAAAAAAAAACTCTCAAGTAAACAATCCATGTCTCGGGAAAATTATGACATGTGTTGAAAATGTGATGAAAAATCGACCTCCTATAGCGTTGTCCAGCTAGGGCCCAATATACAATTCAAACAAGTATTACAAATAATGTAATCTTTTAAGTAAAAAACGCGTAAGAAACCAATCAATTTCTCGGGAAAATCATGACAAGCGTTGAAAATGTGATGAAAAATCGACCTCCTAGCGTTGTCCAAGGTTCTGATGGAATGCTGGAGCCTTGTCCTGAGCTGGGCACAACTACTGCATGTCTGGACGCTGTCCAGGTGAAGTCTGCTGGACCCACCACGATGATTCTTACTGGGCATGTCAGGCTGGATTTTATTCAGGTTTGGTGAAAGATCGAACTCTGGTGGTGACCGATCAGTGTTGCCAGCCAGCAGGGATTCTGAAGAATAAAATTATGAAGATTTAAAAGATAGTGAGAAGAGATAATTCGTCTGATTTTCCGAGCATAGATCATTATATATTCATGAATTAATTCAATAATTTTTATTTTTTAATGAAAAAGACACGGAGGAAACGTACGTGTCCACAGTAATCACTTTTATTTAATTCTTACAACAAATGGAGAAATATTGAAAGAATTTTAAAGTCAACAAAATTTAAAATGTGAAACAAGGATCAGAAACAGCTGATTAAAACTGACGATGAACGAGAGTAGCACATGTAAGGAACACGTAGCACATGTAAGGAACACGTAGCACATGTAAGGAACACGTAGCACATGTAAGGAACACGTAGCACATGTAAGGAAAACGTAGCACATGTAAGGAACACGTAGCACACGTAAGGAACACGTAGCACACGTAAGGAACACGTAGCACACGTAAGGAACACGTAGCACACGTGAGGAACACGTAGCACACGTAAGGAACACGCAGGGAACACGCAGCACATGTAGGCAACACGCACCGACATGTTCAAGCACGTCGCGCGACACGCAGTTGCCGTCGAGCGGGCAGCGAGTGAGGGTGTGGTTGTGCTGCAGCGCTTGTACCAGCTTACGTGCGCCCTCGGACCCCAGCTTGTTCCATCGCAGATCTTGCAAGGAGACACAGACATTACAGGCCTTCACTTTTCGTAGGATAATAACGGGTCAGTGTTCAATGGCATGCAGTTTACCAGTCCATAATTAGTGATTTCGTTTAACATGTTGACTCCGTAGTGGTACATATGCGTACCACAAAATGTATTTCTCCAAGATGTAGTGGTACCTAATTCAGGTTGCCTAAAATCGGCCAAATCCGAGAACAAAAAAGGCCGATAACTCAATATATACCAGTTTATTTGTAGGTTTCGCTATAAAAATTCCATTTATTTTATCTTTTACAGCATCTAAAATTCAATTAGGAAGTACCACTATCATAAATTTTAGCCGGCCAATGAAAATTGAGAAAAACTAAATCGCGGAATTTGTCCGGAAAAAATGACCGTCTGGCAACCCTGTTTAAAAGCAGTACAAAAAAAAATGAAATAATAGTACCAGGTGAAGCAATCGGAGTCAACGTGTTGATTCAATTTTCCTGGTATCACTATCTCTTGTTGCCACTAGTAACGACTGACAGCTTCATGTACTAAAATACTGCAATTAGCTACTATAAACGCACACAGTCACCTGGTGATTGCTTACTGTCTCATTTACTAACCTAATGCAATTAGTTACTATTTACGCACTCACACACTCACCTAGTGGTTGCCTACTGTCTCATTTACTAACCTAAGCCAATTAGTTACTATAAACGCACAGAGTCACCTGGTGATTGCTTACTGTCTCATTTACTAACCTAAGCCAATTAGTTACTATAAACGCACAGAGTCACCTGGTGATTGCTTACTACCTCATTTACACACCTAGTGCAATTAGATACTATTTACGTACTCACACCCTCACCTAGTGACACTAGTGACCAGTTACCAGCCACGATACTAGCGAGACCACTAGCGTGCTGTTCCGTGAGTTGGTTACTGCGGAGGTCGAGGTAAACTAAATTAGATTTTCTATACCGATCCGAAATGATCCTTAATTTTCGAAATAAATATAATCGTACAGTCTAAAACAATGTTCGTAGATGATCAGCATCATGAATCTTTCAACCCCCAGGAGAAACAATAATATAATAGATAACAATAGGGTCAAACAATTCTGATGGTGTAAGCTTTAGCTTATTTAATTTTTCCTCTTATTTTTAATTTTTCTTTTTATTTTCATTGATGGAAATAAAAAAAATATAACTCAGTACTCACTGCAGTGAGTGACAGAGAGCGCATTTTCTCGTCGAAGAAAACTTGAGGTCACGGACAGACGGACAGACAGACGGACAGTCAGATAGACGGTCATAGCGAGCACAATAGTGCATTTTTTCCATAAATGAGAAAATGCGCTAAAAATAGCATCCAGGAATTGTGTGCAAACATAATAAGCAGGTATTCGTCACACGTTTTGATAACAATAGGGTCAAACAATTCTGATGGTGTCAGCTTTAAGCTTATTTAATTTTTCCTCTTATTTTTAATTTTTCTTTTTATTTCCATTGCTGGAAATAAAACAATAGCATCCAAAAATTAAGTGCAAACATAATATTTCAAACTCAGGAAATTAATTGCTGGAAATAATAAAATTAGTTCGAGAAATTAAGTGCAAACATAATACGCGGATGATCGTCCCACCTCCTGAGAGAAGTGGAGTGCTGCAGGAGGGCGGCGACGGCAACAAGGGCGGCGCCGTGGATGTCGTTGCCCTTGAGGTTGAGGCTGTGCAGTGCCCCAGCCCGACGGGCGCCACGCAGCAGTTCCTGGAGCGCCCGAGTCTCCAGCAGGCAGTCCGACACACTCAACTCGAGCGGGAGGAAGATGGATGTTGATCAATTAAATAAAATTAGGTAGGGATGCTAGTTAAGTCAAGTTAAACGGAATAATTCTCAAGCAAACAAATTGATGATGGGAACTAGATTGCTAAAATAGACCGATTCTATAGCATACTAAATTACTTTAGAACAACACACACAACTGAACAGAATAGGCAAACAAACTTGCAGTATTAAATATAGTAAAATATTATTTTTTGAGTAACTGAAACTACTAAAATGAATAGAGGAAATCTAAATAGTTTAACGATAAACCCGACGCTCTGATGACCGAAACGTGGAAACGATGTGGTTTGTCACTAATCGAAGATTCCGATTTCTGCCGCGTGTCACAGATCTCTGCCGCGTTTCCATCAAGTCCTCGTTCCATTTATGTCAGCCATTTCAACGGCAACGGTATTTAATCCAGGACAGTCGAACTATCAGGCTCTCTTGTGCAGAACGTGGCGGTAGCCTGCCTGCAGTAGACGAAGCTTTCGGCTGCGCCTCTTGTTTCTTGGGTACACAGTACCCGTACTCGTACTCTGGGTAGTCGTTTCCCTGGTTACTCCTATTCTGGGTACTCGTTTCCCTGGTTAATCGTACTCTGGGTACTCGTTTCCCTGGTTACGCGTAATCTAGGTACTCGTTTCCCTGTGTACGAAGTTAAGCGCCGACACCAACCCACGCGGACAACGTGGTGCTGGCTGCTCCTCCCGACCGATTGCCTCTAAAGAGACCTTGCTCCTCTAACCCAATATAGGTGCCTGTACACGGGGACAGTATTGGCCGCCAGTTGATCTGCCGCTTGAACTGTCTACGCTACTTCGCTCGGCTCTGTCCAAGCTTCGTTCGGGTCACTACAGTTCCCTGGCGTCATATATATATAGGGTCGACCGCTCACCCAGCCCGTCTGCCCTGAGTGCAGGGATACCCTACACTCCATCAAGCATCCCTTTGTCAACCCCTTCTTTCCCACGGCCCTCAGCGTCTCCTCACTTTTTTGGGACATTCCCGTGGAGACAGATTTCCAGGTCAACCTCTCGGCATTTACACATCTATTTCTTCCTCAGGTGACCTTCCTTCGATCACCAACCACAGAAGTCGCCCTCCGTGCGAACAACACCGTCGGTGCGAGAAACAAAAACTTGACGCAGAGCAGGATTAGTGAGTACTTTGATGGGTCGTAAGTTGAGATCCGACGATCAGGTTTTGATGCTTAAACGGTCCAAGTTTAAGATAGTGCTAAAATTTCTTAGTTTCTTAATGAAACCTTAATGTCGGTTATCAGAGTAACGGAGCGCTATATCATTGACAGAGTGTGTGGGAGGATAACTAAAAGATAGTCTGGGATACCTCAAAGATATCACAGAAACTAGCGACAAGTGAAACCATAATTATCCTCATTCTAAAAAAAAGTTTATGACAGTAGTTTTATGAGTGGGAAAATTTAGACAAGAATGGCTACAATGGCGAATGATATTAGTTAGTCAAGTCAAGAAGTCATTAGTCATTAGTCAAGAAGTTACCACTCACTTTAGTGACAAGGCTGCAGGTCGCCAGCCACGCACCCAGCACGATGCAGGTTTCCTCAGACAGACTTTGCTGAGACAGATCCAGCTCTGGCAACCTGGCAAGATTTGCAGTAGATTTGAAGCAGAATTTGAAGCAGAAATATGTCAGAGTTTTAATTTTGTTAAAGCTTTAGAAGCGGCTTTAATATTACATGAGGCGTTACTGTTCTTAATTAAATTACCACCCTCTCATGACAAGGATGTAACGTGGGTCAGAAATAAAAGTACGCTGAATGCCGTTTAATATAAGCAAAGATATGTCAGAGTTTTTATTTTGTTATATGTTTCGAAGTGTTTGGAATATGTTTAATATTATATGAGGCGCTACTGTACTTAAATCACCACCCGCACATGAAAAGGATGTAATATGGCTCAAAAATAAGCTGAATGCCGTTTAATATAGCAGGTACACAACTTCGATATGCTACTCGGTTCATACAAGGTAACTAGGTTCGTATTCAATTTTAATTGTTACATATATCTTATTATTACCGGTCGGCAACGTAATTCTTATGTATAGCTCCTAATGTATCATAGTATTCGAGATTACAATTGCCTATATAATTTTTCTGTTGAATCTCTTTCGTGTATATTTTGGCTTTCTCTATTTATTGCTGATGTTATAAATTTTTAACTAATGATGGAAAATAATGATTAACAAGAACACAGGTTTCACAAA